GAAAATGAATTACTAAACATAAGGCTTACAGCAGCCAACAATGTGCAATTATTTCAGTAGTTTTTAAATTATAAAGAGCATGTGCCAACATATTTTCAGAGTTATGCATGTATAATACATAGTCACGGGGTTTCATTCTGACCTAGTTGTCTCTTCTATTCTTTGAAATAAATAGGAAACAGTATTACCTTCCTCAGTAAGCCAGTTATTTAATATGAATCCCATCACTGAATTAAGTCATTGTAATTGAATTCCTGTAATGCTCTGAAGATCTCAAGCCTTTGGCAACATTTTATTTTGATGTGTACTCCCTGGTTCTGTAGGGTAAGAAGCTTCTTCCCACCTCTTTCCTCACTTTTCCTTGACCAAGAAGCACTCAGAGCTGCACTCAAAGTGCTCCTCACTCTATCTCCTGATTTCTTAAAAGAAAAACATGAGGATCATCCCCTTCTGCCTTCCCTTTTCTTAGAGTATTTGTAGCATCTGGGCTGCACTCCACTAGAATGCCTTCGTTATTCCACACCACTCTCACAAAGAAAAATATCTGGTGATGAAGTTCGCCGTCTTGGATTAAAATGCCACTGCAGATGATGCAGTTTGGCCTGGCAGCATCAGGTTGTGCCATAGGGGAGGCTTCTGAGAAAGCTCACTACTTAGAGGTGGAATTCAAAGAGCTGAATCCCAAAAGGATGCGTGCAGTGAATTTCCTACTGTGAGGGAGATTTATTTTCAGGCATGTTTGTTCAAACCTGCCTGAGTACAAACACTGGCATATGCAATAGTGAAGCTGAGTATAATTTATCTAATGATCTACACATTATGGCAGCATGTTATAAAACCAGACCTCCTACCTACCTGGGAGTAAGTGTGCAGCCACCGAAGAAATTCAGGCAAGTGTTTGAAAGGTTTCTTTTTAATGACAGGAAGATGTTAATTGTGGAGCAATGGTTATTCTCATGTCTTCTTGATTTGGGTCGCTCCTCCGACAGTTAATTCTGTATTATTCTGTATTATATCTTTTTATGTACCATATTATATCTTTTTATATGCCAGATCATTTGTCTTGTACATTTCTGAGGAAACTCTACTTACCTCATCCTTCGCTGAGTGTTTGTTATGCTGCCCTGCTCTCTGTCACAGCCTTCAAACCTTGCAACTAGTGTTTCTGAATTGCAAACTCTGGCAGGTTTCTTGGAAAAGGGTAGCAACATCTTGGGCCAAAAATGGCAATATAAGCCATACCATCATATAAAAAAAAGCAAAACCAGGGAGAAAGAACCCAAACACACAAACTCAAATCAAATCCCTAAATACGTATGAAGATGTGTGTAACTTTCTACTACAGAAAAACTGCTTGCATGTACTTTTTGCTTTCTGTGTACTTGGAAGTACTTTTTCCATTACAGTGAATTATAAAGCAGACATAGCTACTTTATAGTGATTTCTCAGAGTATAGTTTTGCTCAGAAAATTATTATTTATGACATAATTTGAAAGCAGTCATTGAGCTCATTTCCACTGGCAAGAGTTCTGAAAGTCCCATAGAGTTAAAATGCTTGTTGGTGTTCACCCATGATGACCCTTCACATCCAGTTGCTGACAGAACTGCTTGTCTTAAATAATCTGCTTTTCATAGAATCCTGAATGTGTTTTCTATTGTAATAAAACCAAATGGCGATATCTTAATAACGATTCCAGAGTGTATGTTGTCTTATTTTTGTGATTAAGTTTCTAAGAAGCCCTAGGCTGGTTTTGAGTTGAAATCCTATGCAGTGCTACTATTAAAGATAGCTCTTAATACAGTAGTTTCTTACTAAAGAGACTTAATTTGTGTATTTGTTATATAAACAAAAGAGGAGCTAAATGCTAAAAATTAAGCTTAAATACAGAAATCAGATGGATATGTGTGACTTGAGAGGTTTATTGTGTTTTGCAATCTCTTTGTGCTTCTAAGTGTAGTTCATTAATCATCACAGATTCGTATTTGACTAATGAACGTATTTTAGCCTTGTTTCCTAAGAAAATAAGGTGTATACAATTCCACCTGCTGATCCTGTTCAGCTCATCCCCTTTTCCTGTGTGCTGCACTATAGAGTTTGATAATTGCTGATCCACTCCAGCAAAAAATTGAGGGAGATGGGGGTGTCAAAGTTGGTTAAATTTCTGAGTTAAAAAAGTCTGGGCAGAGTGTATATATATGCATGGTAGGGAAAAGGCTTGGAAAAGGCTTAGATTAGTGCCCAGCTGAGAGAGAAGCTGCAGTGTGAGTTCAGCTCTTCCTCGCTGGGTGCCTGGCATGGAACCGGGGATTCTGTTTGCTCAGTCTTTTTCAGCTGGTGGTCAAGAAGAGCAGAAAAGCTGTTGGAGTTGAGGTGTTTGAAGACATGAGAAATAGACTGTTGAAGTGCAGGGTACAGGTAGATTGTTGCTTCCTGCTTCTTTTCTTGGAATTCTTCCTGGTTAACCATCGGAGCTTGCTTTAAATGAGGAGCTGCTGGATATTGGCAGGGGTGTAATAAAGTAAGACTCCAAAGTTTGATTGCTCAAAAATAATCAGAAATGTTATGGCAGCTGAGAGAACTCAACAATCAAGGCCAGATCGGACTGGCCTTGAGCAAGCTGGTCTAATGGAAGGTGGCCCTGCTGATGGCAGGGAATTTGAAGTGGATGAGCTTTAAGGTCCCTTCCAACTCAAACCAGTCTGGGATTCTATGTGTAATGTAGTTTCTTTTCTTCTGGAAGCACTGGGAGGCAACAGGTTCTTTAAGTTGTGCCAGGATAGTTCTTAGTGAAAACCGTGTCTCGCTCCTTACGTGCTTGAATGTATACATGTGGTAACTCAGCAGATGTTGCAGGACAGTCACTGCAGATGTGATTAAGCTGCTAGGATTTTTTCTGCATATTCTCAAATTGGTGAAATATTCATAAAGTAGTTTTAATAAGTGTATTTTGCAAGCTTAGAAATGAAAGTGAGCTTTACCACGTGCTCCTGAATAGATGTTGTATGCTGTATATGCCCACTATATGACTTCAGTTAGAAATTATCACCTTCAGTAATTGCATTTGTATTCTGGGCAGTGTTATTTCTCCAGGTGGAAAATAGAAGCTCCTCTGTAAATGCAAACTCCTTGAGGCTATTCTGCATGTCTGTGTTGGTCATGGTGCTGTTCAGCTGCTATTTTAAAGTATAAAGGACACAGTATAAAGGACACATAGTGAGTTCGGTAGAAGGATCAGAATAAGAATCTTCCATTAAATCCTCTACATTTAGACTACTTTTGAAATACTGATTTTTTAAAAGCTTTTTCACTTGAGCAGGATTTATATTTGTGTGAATTCCATCTGGAATCTAGTAATGAACAGTACTGAACTCCACTGGTAAGATTACATACTGTTGCAGCAAGTCATTAGTACTCTTTTTGGTGGTATCAAGTTCTCCAGTAATTCAGTATCAGCAAGCCGTAGGATGCAAGAACTTCCCATTCTTCTTATCCCATTGGAAGCTACCTGTGGAATTATCAGTTTCATAGTAATTGCCACAGGATACAAATTGCAGCCTCTAAAAAGAAAGTTACCATATTCAGACCTGACCTCCTTCTACAAGTAAAGTTGTGCACGCGGAGGGCAAGGGCTGTGCTACGTTAGACCAGTTGTGGTCAGTCCATTCATGTGTGTATAGCCTTTTGTGTTCAAGGTACAGATATTAGCATGGTAGTTTCGTTGGTGGAAAGAATATAGTATGCAGAAAATTACCCGCTAGCTGGCATGTGGTATTTGATCTGCTCTGGGGTTCCAGTTTGTTGGCTGACCCTATGCAGCGATGGGCTGGGAGACGTGTGCATACCCAATAGCCAGCCCCCTGGCCAGAGCAGCTGAGCCCATACCAGGTGGGAACCCAGAGAGGGGTCAGACACAGAGGTGGATGAATGGGTTTGTGGTAGGTTATGACCACAGAACACAATGAGGAGGGAGTACGGCATGAGAGGGATGCAGTAAGTTGTATCCATGGGGTTATTTGGAGTTTTCAAGAGCCCATTCATTTTCCATTGAGTAATCTGCTGTAGAGGTTTATATTTAGTTTAGTTGGTAAGGGATATTGAGCTGAAAATGTGTCCTAAAAATGAATAGGAGACAAGGATGGCTGGACAGTTCTAAAGTGATGTCTGTTTTTAAAGTAGTAGCATGCTGTTTCATTGCTGTCAATTTCAAAACTCTATGATGCATACTGTACACTTTTTCTCCCCCTGCTCCCCAAAACCAAATACTGAATTGAATGAAGTTTAAAGAGTAGTCAGAATATCTGTGTGCTTTGGTGCTAGGAGTCCAGCCTAGCACCAGGTTGCACCCACTGCCACACCAGTGTGGGGACTGGCATGTGGTAAGAGGTCAGGTTGAGCTCAGATGAAAGGTATCTTACCCTCTTTCAAAAGTGATCTCTTTGCTCTCTTCGTTAAGTGCTTTGTAGAATTACAGCCCCTCTGTGTTGACTTGATCTGAGTCAGTTCTGACAGATACAGAAATGGGTTTGTGTATTTAAATTTGAAATCCACTTTTTAATTGAATAATTCATTTGCAGTCTTTTTCCTATGCTTGTGGGTTGTTTAGTTTTTTTTTTTATATATATAACCAAGTAATATTTAACATGGGCACCTAAATTTACCCAGGACTTACGACATCGAAATAAGCTGATACTTTCAGACATAAGAGGTACAGCAAACTTTGCAGTGAGAGTGTCATTCCCTCTCAGTTACTTGACAAATGGAAAGGACAGAATCAAAAGACTTCTTTTGCGTAGGACATGAGTATTTACAGGTTGTGTAATAGTAGAGACTAAGCCCTTTGTAAACCATTTTCTGGACTGTGGGGGAAATGCAAAGGAACTAGAAAGAAAACAAGCATGGTGGGTTTGTTTGCAGTATAATGTATCTACGTGCCAAAAAACAGATGATTTAATTTTTGAGTTTCTGAGGATTCAAATGTTTACGTTGTGTCTTCATCCAGATTCAAGATCCAGCCCGTATTATGGCTGGCAGTGGGTCCAGATCAGGACCATCCAGTGGGTTATCCATGAAATCACAGCTTCAGATCACTGGTAAGCCTTTTGAAAGGAAATCTCTCTTCTGGTTAGAAACATAGAAGTGTTTTCTTTCTCACAATAAATTGCAAGTCACTAGTATGTTGTATTTTGGGGACTTTGGGGTTGAACAAAACCCAAGAAAAGTTGCATAGTAAAATTGAAGGTGTCTTGCCATCATTACTTGACAGCTATTTTATTCAGGATTTTATCTAAAATGCATTAAAAAAAAGGAGTAACTGTTTTTAAGTGCTGTTAAGTAAATTGTACAGAAAGGTCCTCTGAAATGTAATCCTGTAGTATGATACTGCTTTCAGTTAACACTTGACATAATACCAGTCCAGCATTTACTCTTAACAGTCTCAAGCTAAGTGAATGTAAACTGCTGTTCATGAAATCTGACTTACTGCTTCTCCCTTGTGACATGTTTTTGTGGCCACTGTTATAAAGGATCTTTAATAAACATATAGGATGTTTAATAAACAAATAAAATACTGATGTAGTTGATCACCTGTAGATTGCATCCGAATGGATTTGCCTACCTGCCATGCTTTGATTTTTCAGTGCCCCACCAACAGTAGCTGTTGAAACTTAATCCCCAAGTTTTACTCATTGTAACAGACTTCACTGAAGCATAAAAGCTGAAGCCTGGGCATATGAGATCTGTGGATGTAGACAGGTCTAGGTTTAGAAACATCAAGGGTATATTTTGAATGCTCAGCGTGGAAGATCTGTGGGTATATGCAGACGTTTCACAAAGTTGGTATTATGGGGATGAAAAGAGTTATCAAAAATAGATGGGAAAGCTTTAGCTAGAAAGAAGGTTGGGATTGAGTAAGCTGTACTGGCTCTAGCTGTCACCTTGAGGTCACAAGCTTGTTTTTTCTCAGTGGGCTGTGAGTCTTTAAGAGAAATCTTGTTCCTACATGTTGATACTGGAGACAAAAAAATGAAGAGGTTTGGAAGGGGGTACCTCCTTTACATAGCTATGAAGAGCAGAGCTAAGGATTGAAGTGGTGATTGCTATCTAAGGCTTACTCTGTTAAAGACCTGTGACTCACATAAAGAAAGTGAAATGAAAGAAATGGCTTTGTTTAGAAATGAGACTGTTAAGATATTTGCGTGGTTCTCAATTTGTGAGAAGTTGAGCCACATTCTGCAAGCAAACTCTTTCCTGTGCAAGCAGGGATTACTTGTATCTGTAAACACCACCTGCCCTACCCTCAGCTCCCTGTTCCACTGTCTTCACTAGATTTAAATCAACTTTCAGGTTGTGTGGTTGAGAACAAACCTTGAAAGTAGGTGCAAGGCTGCTGATTTGTGCTGCCTCAAAGTAGGTCTTGATGTCTTTGAAATAGCAATGTTAAGGCATGAGATGCTGTAGTATAGAAGTACTAGAGACATGAGGGGAAGGCAAGGGGAGCTATTTGTGAGAATTAATGTTAGCTAACTGGAGTTAATTTCTGTAAGATGTCTTTAATAGAGAAAGAGTTTCCCTTGAGAGCAGTTCAGAGCAGTTTATACTAAGCTACTTGTCTAAATCTCTAAAGGAGCAGAGACTATAAAGGGAATCTAGGTAGATTAGCCATATGGGCTTGAATTAGTCATCTTTTTTTAAGGATGTAGTGCAGCTGAGGTGAGTGACAAAAACCCAGGAGACCAAGTTGTTATTTGTTAGAACAGAGTGGACTTCACTGCCCAACTGGAATTATCTTAAGTACTGAAATTTGTCTTAAATGCTGGCTTGTGAGTTTAGTGTTATGAAGGAACCAAGGAACACTCCTGATCCAAGAGCCAGAGGTGAGGGGTAGGCTGGTACATACACATCCTCCTTTGGCTACACGAAGGCAGCATAGTCATGGTTGTTTGGAAAGACAGGAGTGTTACAGTCAACGCTGTTGAGTGTTTAAAAACAAACCGAAAATCAAACCACCAAAAAACCCAACCAGCCAAACAAAACAAGACATATGTGCCTGTTTATGTTCATCCCCATTCCTGTCCTGTGTGTTGTGTGTTCTGTTCATCCCCACCTTAGACCTCTAGAGCAGCAAGTCAAAGAATCATATCTTAGAATCAGAGAGTGGTTTGTGTTGGAAGGGACCTTAAAGCTCCAACCCAATGCCATGGGCAGAGACACCTTCCACTACAGCAGCTTGCTCCAGGCAGCGTCCAGCCTGGCCCTGAGCACTGCCAGGGATGGGGCAGCCACAGCTTCTCCAGGCACACTGTGCCAGCGCCTCAGCACCCTCACAGGGAAGAACTTCTGCCTAAGAGCTCATCTTAATGTCCCCTCTTGTCAGGTTAAAGCCATTCCCCTTGTCCTGTCCCTACAGGCCCTTGTAAAATGTCCCTCTCCAGATTTTTTGTAGGACCCCTTCTAGATCAGTAGAAGCATAGAATCGTAGAATAGTTAGGGTTGGAAAGAACCTTAAGATCGTCTAGTTCCAACCTCCCTGCCATGGGCAGGGACACTTCACATTAAACCATGCCACCCAAGGCTTCGTCCAACCTGGCCTTGAACACCACCAGAGATGGAGCATTCACAGCCTCCCTGAGCAACTTATTCCAGTGCCTCACCACCCTTACAGTAAAGAATTTCATCCTTATATCCAATCTAAACTTCCCCTGTTTAGGTTTGAGCCCATTACCCCTTGTCCTGTCACTACAGTCCCTGATGAATAGTCCATCCCCAGCATCCGTATAGCCCCCCTTCAGATACTGGAAGGCTGCTATGAGGTCTCCACGCAGCCTTCTCTTCTCCAGGCTGAACAGCCCCAACTTTCTCAGCCTGTCTTCATACAGGAGGTGCTCCAGTCCCCTGATCATCCTTGTGGCCTCCTCTGGACTTGTTCCAACAGTTCCATGTCCTTTCTATGTTGAGGACACCAGAACCTCACACAGTACTCCAGGTGAGGTCTCGCAAGAGCAGAGTAGAGGGGCAGGATCACCTCCTTCGACCTGCTGTTCACACTCCTTTTGATGCAGCCCAGGATACGGTTGCTTTCTGGGCTGCAAGCGCACACTGAAGCCGACTCATGTTCATTTTCTCATCGACCAGCACCCCCAAGTCCTTCTCCACAGGGCTGCTCTGAATCTCTTCTCTGCCCAGCCTGTAGCTGTGCCTGGGATTGCTCCGACCCAGGTGTAGGACCTTGCACTTGGCATGGTTAAACTTCATGAGGTTGGCATCAGCCCACCTCACAAGCGTGTCAAGGTCCCTCTGGATGGCATTCCTTCCCTCCAGCGTATCAACCGAACCACACAGCTTGGTGTCATTGGCAAACTTGCTGAGGGCGCACTCAATCCCACTGTCCATGTCAGCGATGAAGATGTTGAACAAGATTGGTCCCAACACCGATCCCTGAGGGACACCACTCGTTACTGGTCCCTAATTGGACATTGAGCCATTGACCACAACTCTTTGTGTGCGGCCATCCAGCCAGTTCTTTATCCACCAAGTGGTCTATTCATCAAATTGATGTCTCTCCAATTTAGAGACAAGGATGTCATGTGGGACAGTGTCAAATGCTTTACACAAGTCCAGGTAGATGACATCAACTGCTCTACCGCTGTCCATCAGTTCTGTAGCCCCATCATAAAAGGCCACCAAATTGGTCAGGCAGGATTTCCCCTTAGTGAAGCCATGCTGGCTGTCACCAGGCACTTTGTTGTTTTTCATGTGCCTTAGCATGCCTTCCAGGATAATATGCTCCAAGATTTTGCCAGGCACAGAGGTGAGACTGAGTGGTCTGTAATTCCCTGGGTCATCCATTTTCCCCTTCTTGAAAATGGGGGTTATATTTCCCTTTTTCCAGTCATTGGGAATTTCACCTGACTGCGATGATTTTTAAAAAAAAAAATTGGAACTCAGAATTTGCCTTTAGCTTTTCTGTAAGTTTGCATCAATACAGAACACTTAGCACAAACTTATTTTTCTTAATTATGTTTTTTTCACCAGAAGTGGTGGCAGTTTTCCGTGATTTCTTAGTGACGAAGACAGAGCATGTTTTGAGTCTTTTAACAAGCAAGCGTAATTCTTTTGGCTGGTGATAGGATGAGGTTGTAGCAGATATTTTCTACTTTCAACACCTAAGCCCTTTTGTGGATGTTATACTGATTATTATTAATTATACTATCTGATCCTACAGAAGTGCTGTTGCATGTTTTAGGCATATGTGTGAGCTATAGCATCATACAAAATGATCTGCAATGCAAGAGCATTTTGACCATCTAACGTAGGTTGTCTTTTCTTCAGTGTTGTCAGGCATCAGTGACTTGATACTTGAATACTGAAGCACACAACTGAAAAATACTGTTTGCAATTGAAATCTTATTGGGTAAATTTTTTTTTTGTTTTGTTTTTTCTCTCAACAGTTATTTCAGCAAAACTCAAAGAAAAAAACAAATGGTTTGGACCCAGCCCTTACGTGGAAGTCTCTGTAGATGGACAGTCAAAGAAGACAGAAAAATGCAACAATACAAACAGTCCAAAGTGGAAACAGCATCTTACAGTGTAGGTTTGATGGTTTTGTTTTCCAGTTTACTAGAGCAAAGTTAATGCAAGTGACAGTGGACTTCAGGTTTGCGTTCTTAAGCCAGGCATTCAGTGTTACATGAAGTGGAAATATTTGTGTTAACTTCTGGGGCAGATATCTTGGAATCGTAGATCACAGAATCACAGACTGGTTTAGGTTGAAAGAGTCTTAAAGTTCATCCAGTTCCAATCCCCTACCACAGGCAGGGACACCTTTCACTAGCCCAGGTTGCTCCAAGCCCTGTCCAACGAATAGTGATATCAATTTGTCTGTTGTAAGGCTTCTCAAAACTCAAGGGAGGAGAAGGGGCAGGTGAATACTTGATCTCTGAGAGCAACTTTCTAGGAAAAAAATTTTGTGAGTCAGTTCTGTAGTATGAGCTCTCTTATGATGCTCATTGTTCTGCTGTTGCCAGAATACTTTTAAGAAGGACAAGTTAAAAATCTACGCTTTTTGATTTCTCTGATCCCTGGGATAGCTTCATTATTCTCCAGGATATGCCTTATTCACATGCACTTTCTCACCTGCCATCATCTTGCTACAGAAGATTTGGTTAAATTTAGCAGTTTTGAAATGAGCATGTGATTGGCTTGTTTTGGAGCTAGAGGGAGGAGGATGTGAGTGACTGCTGTGACAGCAAATCTCTCTGTGTGCATGTGTTTCTTCTCCAGTAGAGGCTTTCCCAGTATGTTACTGCTGGCGTAGGTCTGGAGTGCAGAATCTGACCACATAGGTAATCCTTGATCAAGAGCTTCCAGGTTTAGGGAGTGACACTGCTGGTGGCTTTTTCTAGGAGCAGAGGTCAACAAATTCAGACTGTCTGTGTTTGGCAGAGGCTGCAGTATTGTGGTTTTATGACCTTATCAGCCCACAAGATTTTTCAGGAGGAACTGAGGCTCTTGTTTGGTCTATGTGAAGGCTGATGCTGTGGCTGGTTGTACTGTGTCTGCTCTCTGGAAGGTAGCTTTCCAGTTTATAGCACCATGTGTTGAATGAAATTCAGATTGTTGTATCACTAAACCAAGTAAAAATATAAGAAAAGCCTCAGGGAAGTGAAAGGGGTTAGAAATAAATGGTTGAATTCTTTGAATTACTTGATTTGGAATAAAGGAAAACTGTTGTGATAGTTTGGTCCATAAGGGTCTTTTTTGGTAGTAAACCTGGAACCAATTATTCAGTGACATAATCAAATTAGCAGACTGTAGAAGTAATAAATCCTGCTCCTGGAGATGGTGAGGGGAGCTTACGAATTGTGAAGTCATGGGAGAGATAGTGTGTTCTTCTCATCTCAGGAAATGCATTGTGAAGCCAGAAGTACACTACTAAAATGCTAAATACTTTTGTATACAGTCCTACTTTGTCAGAATATAATGTAGGTATGTGCCAGCTTATGGGGGGAGCAGTCATTCTAAAAATAATTTGGGGGATTTCTGAGTACTTCACGTTTTATGGGGTGTCCTAATATGGGGCTTTGGACAAGGGCCTGTAGGGACAGGACAAGGGGAATGGCTTGAACCTGCCAGAGGGGAGGCTGAGATGAGCTCTTAGGCAGAAGCTCTTCCCTGTGAGGGTGCTGAGGCGCTGGCACAGGGTGCCCAGAGAAGCTGTGGCTGCCCCATCCCTGGCAGTGTTCAAGGCCAGGTTTGGACACAGGGGCTTGGAGTAACTTGTGGCAGGGAGTTGGAACTGGATGATCTTTAAGGTCCCTTCCAATACAAACCAGTCTGTGGTTCTGTGATTTTCTTCTCTCATAACCTGTACAGAAAGCAAATGTGGTGTCTTCCCACTGTGTGAAAAATTCTCACATTAGGGTACACAAATGCTGAACACTTGTGAAATGGGAACCTGCAAGAATCAGTCTGGTTTTTATAATCCTGGTTACACTCAGGTGCTAATTGTGAGCTGATAGTTTTTCTGTAGGTATTTCCCTTGAAATAGTAATAGTAAAAAACATAGTTTCTGAACAGCCTTGCAACAGTCTTGTGTTTAAGTGACAACCTGCATACTAGAATGTGATAGAAATGGTGTGATGTTAACCACTGCTGTTTGGTTTTCAATTATTTTAAGTAGTAGACTGGTCAGTTCATCCACTTCCCCTGCCAACAAATGGCCTTACTCAGTGCTTAACTTCTTCTTTTCAGAATCGTCACTCCTGTAAGTAAATTAAACTTTCGAGTCTGGAGCCATCAGACTTTAAAATCTGATGTCCTTCTGGGAAGTGCTGCTCTGGATATCCAAGAGACTTTGAAATCTAACAGTATGAAACGTAAGTGCTGCGTGCAACTCTGTAGATGGCCTTTAAGGATTCCTGTTGTGGCTACAGGCTGCATTTATGAGCTTCCTGCCACTTTTCCAGTGTCTTCTTATTTTATTATAGACAGTCTGCTATGGTGCCATTCAGAACCTGGTATTTTTCACTTTACTGGTCTGTGCAAGAGGGAAAGCCTAGTTAAAGAAAAATGTTTATTTTTATATAGCTTAAAAATCAAACAGAGATCTTCTTAATGTTAGGAAATGTATAAAGTTATTTTTGTTCTAAATAGTTTTTCATGCATTTCAGAAGCAGTTAACTTTTAGGAACTATGTACATCCTGGGAAGGTTGAAAGAAATGTGGAATTCTGCACCCCTGGTACAGAATTTCTGTTGCTATGGCATAAAGCCTTGTGCTGTCGCTTTTAAGTTCTGTCCTTTTAAAGAAGTGTTTGCTTCTGAGCTTCCAGATGTGGGCGCTATAAATGCAGCCTGTTGATAGCAGTGTAATAAGGTGGTGTCCTGCCAGAGTGTTACTGCCCTGCTGAATCTGGGTGAAAATTACCCAGGGGACCTGCTTTGTTTTGTATGACACCAGATATCCTGCTGTAGTCACTGCATTTGTGTTTCAAACCTTTTCATCAAGGACTGAAAAGCAGTTATTTACCCTGAAAATACCTTTGGTCTGGGGATACGATGCAAAATCTTCATGTTCTAAATGTGAATATTGATGTCATTAAATAAATGTGAAATATTTTAATCAGAAAATAGAATTGATACCTGCTCCTTGTAAGGATAAGGTGAATTTCATTTCCTAACTACAGGTTTTTAAGACAGGTGTATTAATTGCTTTAGAACTGTGAACAGAAACATGAGACTTAATTTCTGCTGTGATGATAATCCTTTCGTTAGCCAACAACAAGCATGTGCTTCCATTTTCTCCGTTTTATAGAAATAGTAACTTTTTCCTGACATCTGGAAATGATTAATTTTATCACAAAACCCAGAAAACATTATGGAGAGACAGCGCAGTAGTGCTGGGGTTTGTTTGGGTTTTTTTTTTTTTCCCCTTGATCACTGTGTTCTAAGAATGGCTTCTTGAATAAAATGTACTTTTTTGTCATGCAGTAAGATAAACCCCTGTTCTTTGTACCTTTTCAGTTGAGCAGGTAGTGGTGACATTGCATCTTGTTGGTGACAGAGAACCAGCAGAAGTAGTAGGAGATTTGTCTGTCTGTCTAGATGGCATGCAGGTAGATCCAGAGCTCCTAACCAATGGTGATGCCTCAAGTACAAGAAGTAAGTAATTTTCAGTTCAAATGTCTTCTACGTACATCTGGTATACAAAGGGTTGTATTTCTTTGGAGGCTTTAACACAGTGTTTTAATAATAACAGCAGTGGTTTCTGTAACTTCCTGTTTGTAGAGACCAGAACTCTTATGCACTTTTATTTGAGGTGGATTCGTAGTCCATAGTGAAGATTTTCAGCCTTATTGTAATGAAAAGAAGATCAACATATTTATTTTTGGGGGCTTTATTAACATATCTAGCAATCACAAATTGTAATGAAACCCTCAGCTTCCCTGAATGTTCAATAACATCAGGGGAATAAACAGAGAAGTATATAAAGGAAGTTAGTTTCATCATCATCATCAGTACTCTGCTCACTGGGAGACTTGGGTTTATTTTTGTTTTTCTTAAAATATCTCATTTAAATAAATGTTTTCATAGACTTTGTTCCCTGTGGAGTGCTGCAGAGAGGGATCCACTATTCTGTTCAGTTGGTGCCTTCAGTTTCAGATAGTTAGTATGAGTTTTAACTGAAAATCTTGAATATATGTAAAAATGTGGAATTGCATTAAAATAAAAAGTAACAGGGTTTAATTCCATTGGTGCAGGACAGGAAATGGAACATATCTGAGGGTATTTGACATTGCAGAGTAGAAACAGATTAAGAGGTTGTTTCTCCAGAAGGCAGCATTGGAGGGACTGTGTCCTGCAGCAACTGGCTAGGAAGACATTTGGCAATTTTTAGGCTTCTGCGATTTTTTTTAAGCACTGGAAGACACTGCTTTGAGATTCCACCCGAGTATCGTAGGAAAATGGAATTAACACACGAGCTCTGTGACCATTATTTCTTAAAGTGTTCTTTGCATCTTGTTAAAAAGATCAATCGGACAATCTGATTTGTAAGTAAAAAACAATGCTGGGTTATGTGGGACTTGTAGAGCAGGGCTGAGGTGCGTTGATGTGATGTTGTATGAAAGTAACAGATACTTCTCTTCTGCAATACCTGATTTTCATCTCTGCTTTCTTCCATTTCCTGAAATTTACCAACTGAGAAAAAAGGTGCTAGCGAGTCAAAAAAGGCATCCAGGCATTGGAATTGAGTACTGTCACAGTTTTGGCCTTAACAGTGAAGACAGACATTGATACACCAAGCCAGAAGTTCAATAGAGGGTTTTTGCATAATCAGGGCACTGGAACACATGGGGAAAGAGTTAAATCTTAGTCTTAACATGTTCTTATTGTACAGGCTAAAGGCACCTGCAGGCAAATACATTGTTTAAAATCACTTCCATGCTGAGGTTGCTAACAGCGCATTATTGTTGGTCTTTATGTGTCTTTGCCTTAGATCTGTGCATAGCTCCTATCAGAATTGATAACTGACTTCTTTGTTAACATTTGTTTAACTCTGTGGAAATAAAGTATTTGTGCTGTCTACATGAATGAGCAGTTCCGTGCTACACATTCAAGCATTGCAAATGCTGGCACAAAAGGCAAATATTTCCAAGCTGGCTGAATAAGCACTTGCAAAACGTTTGCAAACCTAGGCTGAGCTGCTATAATTCTGTATTGAGTGCAGCCAGATTTGGTACCTTCTTGAATGATTTTATGCTAAATACTTTGCAGAAAAAGGGAAAGGTACAGGCTAGAGAGCCCCAGGAGACAAGCTGCTGTGGTTGCTTGCTAGCAGCAAGCAGAGAGAAGATTGTAGAGAAGTTCTTGCCCTTCTTGCTCTGCCTGTCATCATCGAAAGAGAGTATGAAAAGTCAGCTCCACTTGAAGAATGATGAGCACTGCTTGATACTGCTACGAAGGCAGGAGTCAGTTACTGAACCCTGCATGTGTTTGGCAATTTTCATAAGGTCAAATGATAACCTGTTATTCCTTCCAGAAGGTGAAAATATTACAGTGTCAGTGCTTAAAAAAAAATATATACACAGACAGACATACAAAGACATGCAAAGTGTGTACAGTTTTTAAATAAGACAGTAAATAAACAGCACATAGTGTAATGTCTCCATATTTGAAAGAAATGTGAACATTATAAACTTGCTCTTTTTCTTGGAAATGATTCAGAATGTTGCTTATCCTTCTGTTGTCTTTTTCTTTCTGGTATTTAAGGTCCTACACAGAGTGATAGCTCCAAAGCAAGGAATGATACACGGTAAGGCACTTTTCCTCTTGGTTTTTATCCTGCCTTTTAGTGTTTGAAGTTTTAAAAGAGGAATTGTATGTTCTGTAAAGAAGACAATCAAAAAACATCAGAGTATGCCCTATAACAGTGAATATTAAAATCTGAGCGTGTCCTAAACAAAAATACTGTACCATTGTGCGTTCACAAAAAACTCCTACTGGTGAGTAAAAGTCACTGGTTATTTTTGCACTGTTTTGTTTTATAGCATGGATCTATCAGAATTATATTTAGCTTTGTTAAGAAGATCCCAAAAGCTCTAGCAGTTGCAGTGTTTTAAGGTTGATATCCGATTATGTACCCTGCTGTTTGGTAGGATAAAAGTGTGACCATACTTGATGGTGGATTAACCTGCAGTGAGCCCCATGCCACTTCAATTAGTTCCCAGCACTGCAAGCATTTTAAGGATCTGTATAATACACAACACTCTTGGGTGACATCTGGAGTGCTAAGTTAAATTCACTCTGTTTTTAATAGGTCAAAACTCTTAGTTATGTTGGCTGAAGTGTTCCCGTGAAAGCTTATTTTTGTTCTGCTTCCTTTTCATGCTCACTAAAATGCTTCTGTGCTTGGGTGTTCAGAATGCCTGAGTACATAATAGCATAACAGTAATAATAGCTGATTTGGGTTTAGTACCAACCAGTGGGGGTTTTGGTGTCACTAAAGGTCCATTTTGAGGATCATGTAAATGTACCGTAGAGCTAGGACATGGGGTAATGGGTTTAAACTAAAATACGGACAGTTCAGGTTAGATATAACTAAGAAGTTCTTTACTGTGAGGGTGGTGAGGCACTGGAACAGGCTGTCCACAGAGGTGGTAAATGCTCCATCCCTGGCAGTGTTGAAGGCCAGGTTGGATAGAGCCCTGGACAACATGTCTTATGTAAGGTGTCCCTGGCAATGGCAGAGGTTCAGAAGTAGATGGCCTTAAGGTCCTTTCCAACCCAAACCATTCTGTGGTCTGGAATATGCCTAGCAGTGGCTATTGTTAACATGTAAAATAATGTTTTGATATGCATTGATATACCTTAAGCCAACTGGTCAAATACACTCAAGATAAAAGGTTACTTTTGACCTCAGTGTTGAGAGAGCAGCAATATGGTTTCTGGAACTGAGGTTACAGCTCTTCCAATCTTCAGATCACTAATGATTTGTATATGCTTTCATAGTCATTTCCTCTGGGGTTGGTATAAATTATGTGAACCACACCTGGTGTAGAGAAAAAGTGTTTGACCAACCCCAGTTCCTCTGCGGTTGGTGTGATATGGTATGAATTATGTGAACCACACCTGCTATAGAGAAAAATGATAATGAGGTCAAATGTACTTAATGTACGTGATTCTGCTTGATCTTCTATGAGTTGGGATTTACTTCAGTTTACCTGCCGGGGTTGATTTTGTGTACAGTTAAAGGAAGGTCTTTCTGGAGGTACTGAGTTGAAACCTTAACCCATAGGTTCATTCCTGATGGTCTCTGTACTTGACCTGCCAATCTACTTGGATTTTAGTTGATAATCTTTTTATTTTGCTCAACATACTCTGAAAATAAAATGCTTTTAAATTAAAGGTGTAGATACCTGTAACTCTGCTTAAGGAGCTACATCAGAATAATATACTGCTAAGGAAAACTGAATGGCACAGAATGGGTAAATACTTCTATGTCGTAATTCTTAAGTTTCTTAATTTTTGTAAAATTGAGAAGCTTATATTCATAACTGTTGGTCAAAAATTTAAATGCTTAGTACTAAATTCTCCAGCCCTTTCCAGAATTCAGCTTAGGGGAAAACTTGTGTATGTGTAATAGTTTTCTAATGGAGCATTCTGTGTTCTCTGAGCATCTGCTAGCCCTGTGGAACAACACATGCAGGCTGTTCTCAGGTCATGCTCAGCTTCCTATCTCATTAGAGACAGGTGGAATTCATGGGTGGAAATAGCTGAGCAGCAGCATCCAAAGCCTGGGCCTAAAGGCAGTTGTATTGAGTTGGGAAATGAAAGAGAAGATTTCAGTGACAGATGTTACATACATCTATTTCGCAACCTCTTTATCAGTTGAGGTTTCATACACATCAGGAGATAAACTTAGGATGCTTATACAGATGTATAGGTTTCTATTATTATTATGAATGTGAGAGTCTAATCTAGTCATAACTGTTAGGTTCTAGTGTCTTTCATAAAGTTTAAAGTCATCCATACACTATTAGAACAGTTCTTGTTTCTGTCTTTTCCTGCAAAAGGACTAACTCAAATGGCCTTGAAAGCTGTGAAGATGCTTCTCCCAGTGAAAACAAGACTGTTAATGGCAGTGATTCTCCATTACTCACAAATGGAAGCTGCAAACCTTCAAGACCTCCGAGGCCTGCCAGACCACCTCCACCTACACCCCGCAGACCCACTTCACTAGCCGGTATGTGTGCTAGGGGCAGGCAGTCATTTCAGAGCTGCACACTCTTTGGATGAACATAGCAGTTTGATGCTGACTTTTAACTACATTTTTCATGGTAAATTCCTTGGCAGATAACTTCAGAAGCGCTATATTTTAGCTTGCATTCAGTACGTATTGTTTAATCAATGTTCCTATTAGAAATTTCTTGCTTCCATGTCTGCTAAGTAATGATTGCAGTGATACTGCCACATGTAATGGAGCTGAGACCAAAAGAACACAAGCGAATGCTATTACTGCTCTAAAATACCCACTGAGTTTGAGATGAAATCTACTGAAGGGCTCACAAAATTGGCTCAAGTGGTTAATACTGGGTTTTGAAATACTAGTTATTAGTTTCTACTAATTTAGCTAAAGTCTGTGAAATAGCAGCACTTAAAACATTCATTACTCTCTTGCACTCAAATAAGTTTTTTTAAATTTTTTATTATCTGATAATTTAAAAACTACAAAACTTTAGTTCTGAAAAAGTTAGTTGATGTTTTTAGGGTAACTCCTTCACCCTCATACACTGCAGTCTTCCAGCAGTCTCATTATCACAGTTGATAAATGATGAGTTTGGATGGAAAACTGTGATACAGTAATGAAGTTAAAAGTAGAACCCAGTGTGGGTTCAGTAATAAGGCCTGACTTGTATACAGCCTTTAATCCCACCCACCAAAAGGCATTAAGGAAAAAAAAAGAAAATGTTTAAAGAATATTTTGCCCTCCCATTCTGGTAATTTCTTTGCATGTGATACCAAATCTCTTCTTGAAAATGTTATGCTTATGATCATTTAAATTATTATTCAAAACAATAAATGGAAAATAATGAGCACATCAATGCAAGAAAGTAGTTTTTTGTTTATAGTCATTTAGTGTTTACAGGATGCAGACAGCTTACTTTGGTAAATACTACCTATTCTATCAGAAATACCAAAATCCTGCTCTTGATAGCAGTTCTTGGATAAAAGCATCTTTATGAAGTGAGACAAAATTGCTTTTGAATTAGTGTTTGTGTAAAGTGTGCAATGTGGCTGTATGTGTGGGCTTTGAAATATCAGTTCTTGCATGTTTACTTTTGTGATTTACAACCTCTAGAATAGATTGGTGATAAATGCCAGCTAAAGGTGCTTTATCTTCTGTCTTTGATATCTTTGACATCGTAGCAAGTGCAAATGGTCCTTCAACCGCATCCTCAGAGAACGATGGGGCCAGTGCAGGATCACTGGCAGGTCCAGCTGCAACTACGTCTTCTGAGCAGAGCCCTGAGGGGGCAACAGCAGGGGCAACAGCAGCAACAACAACAGCTCCTGCAACTGCTGCACTCGCCACACCTCCAGTATCAAGACAAATCCAGCCAGTAAATCCTCCACCTCAGGCACTTACTACAGTCAGTCAAGGTCCTCTTCCACCTGGGTATGACATCATTACTATTATTATTATTATTATTATTATTGTGTTTCTGGCTTACTTTATTTTACTTACAGCAGGTAAGTCAATATTACAAAGTATTTATAACATTTGCCTTTTGCTGCGTAACAGAAATCCTTCACTCAGTACTAATTTGAAGGTTTTCATAACTGTTTTGTCTGGTAGGCCTTCTGGTGTGGTTTAGTCAAGTAAAGAATTAATCTTTTGGATATCTTTGATACTTGTCATATGCTCCCATGCCAATGAAGTACAGAACTTTTAGTGTGACAGCTTGCTGTCTTTAAATTAGAATGAAGTCAGATACATAGAGGAAAAGCTACTATTGCCTTTCATATTCTGCAGTATATCCTGAAGTTTTGGACTTCATACTGCAGTTCTTGGGAGTAGTACGGGCACACCGTTTGTGTTTCAGGCTCTTGTGAAATTTGCTAGATGGATGGTTTGTTGCTATCGCTTAGATTCTAAACTTTAAACAAAGTTTCTGAGCTCTTTGAGAGATGGAAAGCAAAAGCTTCCCAGTGTGAATGGTGTAATTGGTGAAATAGTTGCCTTAATTTGCAGGCAGTTGAATCAGAAAGTAGGAAAGGGCTGCATTGCCTCTCTGCCATACAGGGAAACTGTGAAATATAAAAGCAGTCTTGAGAAAACTGATTGTTGCTTGACCATTTGATTTCAACAGAAATGACAGATTAGCATGCTTTTGTTCCTGTGGTGTTACCTCTGATGCAAATACAGGTCTAAGGCAGTATCGCAAATGCTGCATATGCAGAAAATGTGACCAGTGCCCTTATGATGAACTCTGCAGAGTTGCATATTTTGAGGATTTAAATTGAATTAATGTTACTCTGAAAGGGGATTATGCTCTACAGATGAGGGTATTCAACGGGTTATTATAAATTTGATATTGATTACAAATCTTTGCTTGGTTGCTTGCTAAAACTGTATATGTAGGCATGAGATGCAGCTTCTATTTCCCACAGACTGAAGGTGGTCACATGAAATGTTTTTGTGTTCTAGTTGACACAGAATTACTGTTGCTGTGACCATTGTACCACAATGTACAGCGTTTTGGTGCATCTTGTGAAGCATGTGTGAGTTTCAGGCATTATATTTAGAAATAAGCATTTTATGAAAATGGGCATTTCTCATCTTTATACTGAGCATACATGGTTGGATCTGGAGGCAGATAAAAATGCTGTTTTGTTTTTCAGCTGGGAGCAAAGAGTAGATCAACACGGTCGAGTATACTATGTAGATCATGTTGAAAAAAGAACGACGTGGGATCGCCCAGAGCCTCTTCCTCCAAGGTGAGCCAGAAGAAGTCACAGGATGTCAGGATTTTGCAGAAATTGATTGACAGTTTACTAAAGCTAGAAAGCATGTTTGTAAAGAGAGATGTGAACCTAGTGCAAGTGGTTGCTCCAGGTTGTCTCCAAGGAGTGCTGCAAAAATGCATAGTACGCAGTGTGGAGAAGACTTGAAACTCAAAAGTAACAGAATCTTGAGTTTTCTGTCAAAGGTTAAGCAAGTGCATCTTTACTGAGAAACAGAATTAAGTTAAAGACAGTAGACATCCCCAGCTGTAAAAGAGAACCAAACCACAGAAAGTATTTTGGGATTTAGGTAACTATCAGTTTGAGCAAGAATGCCCTTGGGTGCCTCTTTATCCTGAGGCTACTGTTTGCAGTCCTTTGAGCCTCTCCCAGGATTCCCAGCTGCTAATCTACTGTACTCTTACAAAGCTTTGGTGATGATTTGGTTATTATATTTGGTTATTTGGCTTTTTGAGCTGTTGGCATCAGAGCAGCCAGGGTTCTTAGCCTCTAAATGGAATAAGTTTTACTCTGATGCCTTTCATTCATACTTGCATGGTTCACACACTACACAGAATTATGAAGTAAAAGCATGTGAAATAGTGAAGATAACTTGATACTAAAGAACAAAAACTGGCAGTCTCGTAACAGGAACCCACCTTTCATATCCAATGTGTTTTGAACTCTGAGAGGTTTGACTAGTGATTCAGGTGTTAGCATTTTCATTCAAGTTTTATCAGTAGTACTGATTTCATCTGAACTGAAAACAGTAATAAAAAAAGAAAATGAAATAAAATAACCAAACCAAAACCCAATGCCCACACCTTCCTTTTCCACCAAGTCAGAATGTACAGCCCAAACTGTCAGAGGGCTTGCTGCCTTTTAGGAGAAGCCAGCAGACCATAGTCATATGGATTGGGCAGCATAAATGCAATAGTGACAGTATAGTATTGTCAGTTGTTTGTGTAGCTCTTAAACTGTTTCAAAAAATCCTGAAAGTCCAGTAAACAGATTGAGTTTGTCTTAGGATAGTATGCAACAAAGTAAAAGTGGTTCCCTTATTCAAACGATTTTAGCTCTTTCATACTCTGAGTGGAGGGCAAAATGGAAGAAAGATGCCTGTTGATGAGCCTGTGCTTTATATCCACTTCCAACATACTGCCTGTTGCCTAAGAGTGCTTCTGAGCCCTTAAAATTGTCTGACATTGAGAACTGTTGCTTGTCATTCTTTTAAAAGCTGGGAGCGACGAGTTGACAACATGGGGAGAATTTATTACGTTGACCACTTCACAAGAACTACAACGTGGCAGAGACCAACATTAGAGTCTGTCCGGAATTACGAGCAGTGGCAGCTTCAGCGCAGTCAGCTTCAAGGAGCTATGCAGCAGTTTAACCAGAGGTTTATATATGGGGTAAGGAATGTAATGGTGGCTAGAAAAATTGAGAGGGCATCTTTCCAAATTTTCAACCCATCAGTCTCTCTTTTGCATATTGGAAGTGTATTTGGGGTTTGGCAATGCTTGTGGGTGACTCTTCCCCATAAAGTCACTGTGCTTTATTATCACATGGTTTATTCTTTATGATAATATAGTATCTTTGTGTGTGTAGCACAGCAGGAGGTACTAATTGATAACCTTTGTTCATGTCCTCACAATGACTGCAAGCAGCACATGCAGTGTAATGGTTTTTATTTGTCAGCTGAATATAGGAGGTGTTCTTTGATAAAGTTTATGTACAATATTGATAAAAGCCATTGGTTCAAAACAAACTACAGCTTAGTAATAAAGCTGTTTTGTTTGTATTATATCTTGAATTGGCTTTGCCAAAGACCTGGAAGGTAAGCAGGCTCACAGGACATGTACTTCTGGTTTGGATATAATCACAATAATAATAATAAGCACAATGAATGTTATGAAAGCAGGGAAACTGAAAATAAACTTTCCAGAACCTTAAATCCATTGTTTACCTCTGATGAATAGCAGACTTAAGGTAACTCCAGCTCATACTACTAGCTTATCAAGAATGGTGTATGTTCTAAATTTGGTGTATGTGTAGAGAATAAAAATGGACCTCATAAATGGTGGTAGGGAGGAGTGTGCTGAGGGCAGGACTGAAGAGGGTTGCTTTCGGATTTTCTTGGGTGCTACTGTACTAATTTCCCTCTGCGTATGCAGGGGCACTAAACAAAGAATAATTATTTTCTTGGCACTAGAGTTAATGAAGCATGCCAAGGGCTGCAAAATAGGCCCTCTCTGTGGAGAAAAATAAAGTGTTGGCATCTTACCTTATTTGTAACATTAACAAAACTGCATTTGCTTCAATAATTCATGATGCCTATGGTGGAACATCTGGAAAGCAAATGACTAGTCATTAATACACCATTTGTTTGTGTGACTTGCAGAACCAGGACTTTTCATCGACACAGAACAAAGAATTTGATCCTCTTGGCCCTCTGCCACACGGATGGGGTAAGACTGACTTGCAAGTGTTTTGTAATGCAATGTAATTAAACAATAAAGCATATTTCTGCCAAATTAGTTTGTCAGCTGTTCTAGGCTCTTAAAATTAAACCTAATCAAATGTGCTGTTAGAACAGAGTCCTGACAAGGATGTGCAGTTTCAAAGTGAATTAGAAACCATAAAGTATTCTGGTGTACTCCCTTTCTCAAGGGAAATAATAGCTGCTTTCACACTGTCATCCTTTGTTTACCGCTGTCATTAGGCAGGGTTCCTCCCCCCCCCCCATCCCTTTCCTGCCAAGTCAGACTCCACATCCCCTCTAAATCAGCCTGCCAAATTCTCACTCCAATTTGTGGAGCCTTTTCTTATTGGTCTGAAAATCTAACTAATTTCTGGTGTGACTATGAAGAAGATACCAGAATGCAAATTTCATGATACATAGGCAAAGTTCTCAGAGTTATGTAATTTAAAGAAAGTAATTACTTGGCATAGTTAGACCTGGGGTTTTGGCTCTGGTTTTCAAACAGAACTAAATGTAAAATGAAGCATTTTTCCTGTTGTAGCCAGATTTTGGGCTGAAGATAGAGGCTGTGGCTGGGTCTGTTGACTGATTTTACTTATTTTATTTGATGTAGTCTCAGCAATACGTTAAGCAGATATTGATTTTTATTCTCCTCTCCCCCTTTTGCATCTTTCCAGAAAAGAGAACTGACAGCAATGGCAGGGTGTATTTTGTCAATCACAACACACGGATCACTCAGTGGGAAGATCCCAGGAGTCAGGGGTAAGAAATGAATTGCAGCTTTGTGTAAGTCTGGAATGAAAATGTAGCAAAGTAGCGTGAGACCTAGAGCTAGGAAATGCTGCCCACAACCGAAGTATTGACTGTCCTACACACTGCAGGCAGCCTGTTGAAATATTGAAAGGTACTAGCCAAAATGGAACTGTCAAAATATTACTTAGTAATGGCACAATTGCCAGGAAAGTCTGGGTCAGTAGCAGTAAGTTCATTCCCCAGAACAGCTCCTACTTACTCTGGAACATGTGTCTAAACATTCGTATCATTGGGGGTAGGATTTCTTTTATACAGTGATGAATGGGATAGCGCAGAGGATCCTGAATAAGAATTTGGTTATTTCCTAGATAATAAATAGAAGAATAGATAGTAAAATAGATAGTAAAAGAGGCAGGAAGAAATAAAACTTGAAAAACTGCAGCCCACCACCTCACACCTTTTAAAAAGGTGGAGGGAGAGACATAGGGGAGAGTTTGAGGTACTACTGAAAGTGGTGGAGTACTGTTTATTTTGGGCTTTGGTCACCCTGAGTCTCTGGAATAAGCAGGTTATGAAACAAGGGTGAGGGATGTTCAATCCTAGCTCTTCCTGTTTGAGCTGAAAACTTCCGTTTAGTGAAGCAACTTCATCTCTTCTCCATAGAGGAGTAAGAAGGGAGTGGGGGAGAGAAAGCCAAGTACATGTGGAGAGCTAATAGCTGTAGCCAGATGTGACAACTGTCATATCTCAGAGGTGACATCTCAGTCACCTCTGGGGCTGTGTGTGTGGAGAATACTCTTAAATACAACCCAGCAACCATGTGTGCTAGCTTCACAGTTAGAAACATGGCTCTACAATGTAATTCTGTAGAGGGAAGTCACTGTGAGAACACTTTGAAGTGATGATGCTCAGGTCTTCCAAATATATTGAAATATATTTTTGTTTATACCAGACTCGAGTTGAAGGTTGTTGAATAGTTCTAAAAGATCAATATTTGCATTTTCTTCTGTTTTTGCCATTCTAAAACTTTTTTGGATGCTGTGATTGCACATGAGGTACCAAAAGCTGCCTAGTACAATTAAGTCAGTTTTCAAGTAATAGCCTATAGTTAGAAGACAAAATTATGTTGTTTAATGGAGGAACATTGCTAAACTTTGCTGACATTTTTCTCCTAAACTTCCATTTGCCCTTACTTGAGGTAGTGCAGTCAAATGAGCTAATGTTTATTTGAACAGTCATTTTGGCCTAATAGAGAACTCACATGAAAAACTGAGAGGGGAGAAAAAAGACAATAAATATTGAATGCAAAGTTTCTCAATCCGTAGTTTTTCTAGATCTGCCTCAATTTTTACTGTGTCAGGTATTGCTCTAATGGCTGAATGTATGAAGCTGATCAGTTACCATGTTTTTTTTATTGTGTCCATAGTCAATTAAATGAGAAACCCTTACCAGAGGGCTGGGAAATGCGATTTACTGTGGATGGTATTCCATATTTTGTGGATCACAATAGAAGAACAACTACCTATATAGATCCCCGCACTGGCAAGTCTGCTCTGTAAGTGTTTTGACTTTCAAAGGCTTAGTGTCGTGTTGAGTTCAGCACTTGCTATTTTTAAAAGGTTTTTCTCTCTTTTTGTATGCAGGAAGCTTTATGTGTAGTAAGGTTTGTTAATTTTCTGGCTTTGTTTCATCCACTGATAACTGTCCCTTGAAGAAGGCTTGAACACTTGAGAATCCTTCTTGCCAAGTAGTATACAAGATGTGAGGGTCGTGGAGGAGCTTCATCAGCACTGTTGATGACGAGATCCCTTCCTTCCAGTTACGAGTCTGCCTGTCTTTGACTTTTAGGGACCAGGATGGACATAAAACCAGCGTTTAAGTCCCAACTTTAATTAACTGAATGTTATCCCATCCTTACTGTTAGATTCTTCTTTACAGTTAATAATCAGATACGGTTTAAAAGTAGTGTGTGTACGCTCCACAGTGGAGAAAAGAAAACCTTTTTATAGTTTAACAACAAAAAAAAACACACCTCAAAATCAAAAAATGTAAATAAGAAGCTTCCAACTAGGTAGCACCTAAACCACACCACTGTATAACCAATACAGATGCAGGCATTTACTTATGTTACAAAACCACTTTTGAAATTCATTTGTTTGATCTCCTTTTGGTTCCAGAGACAATGGACCCCAGATAGCTTATGTGCGTGATTTCAAGGCAAAGGTCCATTATTTCAGATTCTGGTGTCAGGTATGGATTCATCACTTTGGGAGTATTTGTTAGCATTTTTGGGTTTTGCTTACATGCTTTAAATGAACTCCTTTAATACCTTGCAAGTGAAGGTAATCAAACTACTTCAACTTTAAAGGTGAGTTAAAGTAGGAAAGGAGTAAATGCAGGATGTATATAAACTCATATAAAGTTTAAAGATAGGTAAGCTAAGGCTTTGAAACTTCTAGAATAGAAAAGTAGCTAAACTGATGTTTTCTTTTAAAGTTGGGGGGGGTCAGAATAGTGCTTGCTTTCTGTTGTTAATAAGGGAATACAGGGAGATGCAGAATTTTTATAGTTAATATTACTTTCTGCACAAATACAGACATCTGGAAGAAAATGCAGGGCATATGACTCAGAATATACATGTCTAAACATTGGAGAATATGTGCTGTAACATCAGATTCCAGAGTGTCAGTCTTGATCCTCTAAACTCAATGTATATCAAGAGATAAAGTAACCTGGTATTGAGGAAGAAGTCTCAGGTTTGAATGTTCCAGTTTTCAGGAGTCAGTAAATTACCCTTTGAAAACCAGAACAGACTAGCTGAACTTTTCACTTTGAATTTGGCATAGAGTAACCTAAATTTTCTCATTTTTTAATTCTTTATTAAACTAGAATGTTATTGATCTTGACGTTTTCTGCTGTCTTGTAAGAGTATAGTATTTGAACCTGTTGTAAGCAGGCTCTAGAGACACGTATATCTCACTGTAGATACCAGTAGTGGAAGCAATTTCTTGGAGTAAATTAAAACGATTGCTGGGTTTATTTTATGTGGATTAGTAAAATTCAACTGTACTTCCTAAAGCAATATATACTACAATTATTACCTACATTAATTATTAACTGCTTCCTAAAGCAATATATACTACAATACAATTAACTGCAAATAACAGTACAAACACAGTATTAAAAACTTCAAATGATTGTATACTTCACCTCTGCAAATTTCATTTCAGCAACTGGCAATGCCACAGCACATAAAAATTACAGTGAGCAGAAAAACATTATTTGAGGATTCCTTTCAACAGGTATTGTATTTAAACTTGTTAGTAGTGGGCATGAGAAGTTGAGTTGATAAAATTTATTGTCTCGTGTCACTCTTGATCCTTTGCCATTTTGTTAATGTTATTTTAAGTGAGAATAGCTACTAGATTAATAGTTAGGATACATTCATACTTCCATATTTAAAGGTCATGCTAAGATGTGAAGTTCTGGCTCCAAAGACTGATTCATCTGACAGAGAAGGTGTTTATCTTTTTTCCCTTGGAATTCTTTAAAACCTGAGTTAATTTGAGTGGAGTGCTGCAGCAGAGCAGCTCCCCCATCTCAGGAAGTTTTCATGTTGTGTTTATGTTTGTTACATGTTTTTCCGAACAGTTTTGTTGCATTAGCATGGGCTGTGTACCAAAATATATCAAGTTCATCTTAGTCTCGGTGTTAGAGATCCTGGGTCTTTAATTAGAGTAATGAAATGGTTAAAAGGAACAAAACCTACTAATTCTATTTAGGTTCTTAGTAGCAAAATTCTTGTTATGTCTATAGACCTAAACCATGGTTAAGATTTGTTCCTATACAGTATTTCTTGGTGCATTTGAATTTTACTTTACTTTACGAATGTTCATTGTGGCAATAAATCACTCATTGCTGGTTAAATTGAAACCAAAAGCAGCTCTTTGTCAGTTTCATAAGACAGATAGAAACAGGCTTGGAAGAGCATGGAATGATTCATCTTGGCCACTTCTTTATTTTCCTGATTTAAAAGTAACTTAAGAAATTTAAAACAAATTTGGCTAGGGACAGAGGAAGATAAAAGTCCCTATCTTCTTAAGTTTTTCTGATTCCCTATAGGTCTTAAGGTTTCATTCCTTGTAGGAATTATCACAGATGTGTCAAGCCAGGAAATGTGAACAAATAGAACATTGTGTTTTGAGCCAAATACATTCTTACATAAGGATTAATGTTTTCTTGTTCAAATTACTGTAAACTGGTTTAACAGAATCGACAGGCAGTGCTGTTGGCTAGTCTTCTCATTTGGAACAGTGATGCCTTTAAATAAAAAGGGTTAGAAAGAGCAAAATAAATCCTGTAACTGAAAACTAGCTCCAGCTTTATTCCTGCATATGGGCTTGGTGTTTTGTACAGTAACTGTAGAGGTAATGAAATTATGCTGTACTGGAAAGAATCAAGCGAGATTATGTAATTCTATAAACATCAGCAATCCAAGGTTTCCTTGGGAAAGCAGGGTGCCTGATCCACAGTTTAGATGGCATCATCGCAGAGACCCAAGTTAGTGTTTTATACTTGTTAGTCATCATTTGCAGTATCTCTGATAGGATTATAAATATTTTTGTGGCGATTACTACAGACATCCAGGAGAGAGATTAAAATGCAAACCTTGACCCAAATTCTGTGCCCTTTGTGGCAAACAAAACTTGAGGTTCTTGGACACAAAAAGCATCATGTGAAGTTTCTTCATGTAAACCTCTGACAGTTGACCAAATCAGCATAATTACAAATTTGGTCATGGTATTAAACCCAAGATTAGTAAAGTTCCTTAGAAAGGCTGCTGGCGTAAGTACCCCAGGTCTTTAATACCAGGATTATTATTTATTTTTTTCTTTTACATATCCTTAATCTATGGAAATAGGTTTGCAGTGATGCTTCAAGTTGCATGAACATTCCGTAAGCATGTCTTCACGCACTATAGTTCATTTTGTGTTCTGAATTATTAAATGCTATATTGCCTGATAACAAATAGTAGTAAGTCTAGCCAGTGCTTACAGCTGTTCTCTTTAAAAAAAGTGATTGTTTTTCTTTCACTAAGATAATGAGCTTCAGCCCTCAGGATCTACGGAGACGCTTATGGGTCATTTTCCCTGGTGAAGAAGGCTTAGATTATGGAGGTGTTGCAAGGTAAACTAACATGAAATGGCAAGTTATACCTTTTTCTGCATTGTTGGTGTGAAGACTTCCCCAAAGTAGATACTTAAACTGCAGTGCTTTCAAAATACTAGTGAAGTTCATTCCTTATCTTCCTTCAGAATATCTGGGGAAGATAGTTCCTTAAGATGTGTATGCATGTCTTAAAACTGCATGAAATTATTTCCAGTTTGTATTAGGAATTACTTTGTGCATCTCTGATCATTGAGGTGATTCATCTACTGAATGACAGTAAGCCTTTGGCACAACAGTTCATGTCAAAGTAGAGGTTTATTGAAAAAGCGAATGGAAATCCACTTTCAAGTCAAAAGTCTTCACAGGAATGTAACTGAGAAGTACATACATGAATTGGCAATCCGTAAATCACTCAAGTTTAAATCGGTGGTAGGCTTTTAATCTTCTTATTTAGATAAGGCTATTTTTGTATCAAAACCACTGACAGTTGTATATCATTGTAACTTTGCATATAATAATTTGTCTTAGTATCAGTTTGGTTTCAGTTTGGTCTAATGGACTTCCTGGTAAAGAGGTCGGACTGACTGCCTCTGTGCCAACAAGTGCCTAAGGCGACCTGAGCTAGCTAAAGTAATTTCTAATTTAATTTATTTTGCAATGTGTTTTTGTTTGTGTGATTTCAGGGAATGGTTCTTTCTATTGTCACATGAAGTTTTGAACCCAATGTATTGCCTGTTTGAATACGCAGGGAAAGATAACTACTGCTTACAGATAAACCCAGCCTCTTACATTAATCCAGATCATCTGAAATACTTCCGATTTATTGGAAGATTCATTGCCATGGTAAGCTCAAAAGTAGAAGGGGTTCTCTCCTGTAATTGTTCTATAAACTAATCATAGACTGGTTTGGGTTGAAAAAGACCTTAAGATCATCTAATTCCAACCACCCTGCCATGGGCAGGGACGCTTCACACTAGACCATGTCGCCCAGGCCTCTGTCCAACTTGGCCTTGAACACTGCCAGGGATGGGGCATTTACCACTTATTTGGACAGCCTGTTCCAGTGCCTCACCACCTTCACAGTAAAGAACTTCTTCCTGATATCTAACCTAAGTCTCTGCAATTTAGTTTACACCCGTTACCCCTTGTCCTATCACCACAGTCTCTGATGAAGAGTCCCTTCCCAGCATCCTTGTAGGCCCCCTTCAGATACTGGAAGCTGCTATGAGGTCTCCACGCAGCCTTCTCTTCTCCAGGCTGAACAGCCCCAACTTTCTCACCCTATCTTCATATGGGAGGTGCTCCAGCCCCCGATCATCCTCATGGCCTTCTCTGGACTTGCTCCAACAGTTCCATGTCCTTTTTATGTTAAGGACACCAGAACTGCACACAGTACTCCAGGTGAGGTCTCACGAGAGCAGAGCAGAGGTGCAGGATCACCTCCTTAGACATGCTGGTCACACTCCTTTTGATGCAGCCCAGGATACGGTTGCTTTCTGGGCTGCAAGCGCACACTGAAGCCGGCTCATGTTCATTTTCTCATCGACCAGCACCCCCAAGTCCTTCTCCGTAGGGCTGCTCTGAATCTCTTCTCTGCCCAACCTGTAGCTGTGTCTGGGATTGCCCCCACCCAGGTGTAGGACCTTGGACTTTGCACTGCTGAACTTCATGAGGTTGGCATTGGCCTACGTCTCAGCCGTGTCAGGGTCTGTCTGGATCCTATCCCTTCCCTCAAGCATATCATCAGATGAATAATTAATTCATTTTTTAGTTGAAACTGTTACCAGGTGTTTGGTTACAACTGCTGTTGGTATAAGTTAATTCAGTATATTAGCAGTCATGATGTTCAAGGTTGTTTTAATTCTTTGGCTGTCAGATGTCGCTGGTGCATAGTACAGAATGTTGTCGTATTAAATATTAAATCACCCTTTGCATTATTTTGTCTGTTTTCATGTTCTTCAGGCTTTGTTCCATGGGAAATTCATTGACACTGGTTTCTCTCTGCCGTTCTATAAACGTATCCTAAACAAGCCAGTAGGACTCAAGGATTTAGAATCTGTTGACCCAGAGTTTTACAACTCTCTCATCTGGGTAAAGTGAGTTTGACTTGATTTTGTTCTTGAAATCCCAATATAACGGGGTTTATTTTCACTGATGCCAGGAAGTAGGTGTTAAATTTACTATCACTGGGAAGTATATCAGTTGCAGAGCAGTACTGGAATTTTCCTGTAATTTTAAATGCACAGATAACTTGATAATGAAAACCCCTTTTTGTTTCATTGAATAATGTGCACAGCCTCTTGCATTCTGTTTTTGCTGGTTTAAAATAAACCTAGCTAGACATTCTACCAATGTGGCAGTCTTGAATGCTGTTACAAATAAAATGGCCTGAGCAAATTCCACTGAAACTTATCAGGTAACTGATGAAATCAGCAAAAATCCATTCATTGTTTCTCTCTAGTACCTGCTTGAGTTAGAAAAGAGGAAAGTTTAGTGTACAATAATATGAGGTGAACAACTGTAGTTATTCTTCCATGTATGCATTCTCAGTCACCTGTCCCCTCTACGTTCATACTGTTTGGAGTCCTCATTTTCCACTGCTTTGCAGATTCCCCTCCAGAGACCAGCAGGCATAAAGGATCTGGAGTTTTCAGACCATCATTATTTTGGAATTACCTATTAAAAATATTTTCAGAAATAATTTTTAAACCCCCTTAGGTCTAAAGCGTTGTCATTCTGTACTGATTAGATAATAGCAGCACTCAAGTGGGTTGTAGTCCATGGTTGATGTGCACCATCTGTGTCAATAACAAAGGTGTTTTTCCTGTCCTAGCAGTTAAAAAAAAAAAGGCAAAAAGACAAATTCAGTTAAAAATTATTTGATTCTGCTATAGTAAAAACAATTTAGCAGAAAAAAAGTGGTTTTTTACATGACTGGAGAGAGAAACCATTTTACTTAAGAATCATGCAAAACCAGAATAGTTTTAAAGATGCTTTGAGAAATTTCTAAAAGCTGTAGGGATAGATTGGTGTTAGAAGTGCAGAAATAAACACAAAAGGCAGAATTATTTCCTCCTGTAATGGTGAATCATGGAAGCATTCTCTTGAATGAAGGAAGGGGGTGGGGGAAGCAGATTTACAAGATGTTTAGAAATTGAGATGGGGATTTTGAGTTGGTTTTCCAACAGCAGCATGTTCTGTACTCAATGTATGTGCTGCTAAAAGGTGTAATGAGTTAAAATTCCATTAGAAAAACTTTAAATACTTGCTATTTGAATAAAGATGCCACAAAACTGATGCATGTAGTTAAGGGTATGAAAATTCCAGAGAAAATCTTTCAGACCTCTGATGGGTGCACATTGACCTCAAGGCAGGGAGACCCAAACTTCGTGTTTAGTGCTGCTGAGCCAGCTTAGCTGTATTTGCTGATGAAGTTGGTCTCTAAGGAAATGGCTGCAAATTTGTAGGGGAAAAAAAGTCATATCTGCCAGGGCAGACATAATTTTGTTCCTCACCAAAAAGCAAATTTTGGCACTTGCCAGGATGCTTTCGGTACTTGTGAATGTGTGGTGCTTCTCCCATCAGGTGGCTCTTTGTCTTGTTCCCACAACTTTGAAAATGTCACAGATTGACTGAATCTGGAAGGGGACCTGTAGAGGTCACCTAGTCAAACTTGTCTGCTAAGACTGAGCTAAGCAGGTAGCTTTCATTTTAAAAGGAAGGGGTGATTTTATTTCATCATCCATCCATCTGAAGCCTGCCTTCCACATCTGAGATGTCCTGCAATAGTATGTGTTTTGGAAAGATCAAGTTGAGAAGTCCTGTTGCATCATGGGGCTAGATAAACCACAGCAGTGTTCTCAAGACTGACATTTCTGTGTTGTGGTTGAGGACAAATACCTTGATTTTTGCACTGCATTTTGGGGGGAAATGGTCATCAAAGCCTCTACATATGCAAGTGATTCTTCACTTTACAGAAGCATCCATCAACATATAGTGTCGTACCTGCTATTCTCCTGGTTATTAATACCTATAAAGAGAACAGAATTTATTTGAGCGATGTTTGTTGGCTACAGATTCCTTCTATGTGAAAATTTCAAAGAATTCCTCTTTATGAGGAGTATTTGTACTTAGTTAACTTGGGAGCTTTGAACATTTTAGTATATGCTTACAAGATTGCCTCATATATAATATCTACTGGAGTTGAAGGTAATTCAGTAAGCATTTAACTAAATCCTAGTTGCTTCTTACTGCTCTTATCTGACAAAGTGAGAGCTGCTGTTTAACACTGTCCTTACATTACCTGTTAGAAGAAGCAGTCATTCAATGAAACATGAAAAAATGTCATTACTTTAAAAGCTTCTGTATTTCCTAAATGTGCCACAGATGCCAGGAGGTGGCTTGTCAGCCTTGTGATGGGTAAATTTAAGGGTACAACTGATGAAAAATTTCTGATCAGGAGTACAATCCATTTATGCATGTTAGTACAGTGAGTCAGTACTGCTTGCAAAACCATCATGATTGTGTAAGGAATGCTTCCTTATCCTGATTATCTAGCTCCAACTTTTTTTCTTAAGGTTCTTCATACCCATTTCCTCTACTGAGTACAAGGTCTTGACACAGTTATTAAAACTCATATTTTTTCCTAACAGAGAGAACGATATTGAAGAATGTGGCTTGGAAATGTTTTTCTCAGTTGATAAAGAAATTCTAGGTGAAATCAAAAGCCATGATTTGAAGCCAAATGGTAGCAACATTCTGGTCACAGAAGAAAACAAAGAAGAATACATTAGGTAAGAATACAAGAAGACTTCTAAATACTCTCATCTTACTAGTTTCTTTCTTTACTTCTAGCAAGACAAGATAGCCAAAACTCTAATGGGAAGCATTGCTAAAATTCTGTGTGAGTAATTGCTGATGTGGGCAACAAGTGGCCATTGTTTGGATATCATATTTGAAAGAATATTGATAGGAATAAAGTTTCTAAAATCCACTTCTCCCAAAGATTGCAGAAGGTTCACTTTTTTCCTAGGGATATTTAAGTTTAGCAGAACATCACAACAACAAATGTGAATGTCAGACACTTAATGAAACTGTTGCGAATGTTTAATATTAGAGTTACATCGCTTCATAGCCTGCTGATATTCTGCCCAGCCTCTTATGTTGGGGTGTTTTTGAACTTAAGAATCATTTGTGATGATTCTTCTCTTTTTAGAGATACTTGATAGATTTTTATTTTTTTTTTGCTTGCTAGTTTTACCTGAAGTGGTCTTGTAGCATAATTAGGTCTTGGCATTCGTAACAGGGTCACAAGTTCTATTGTCATAAATGATTACGTTTGCAGTGCCAGGATGTGTTAAAGCAGTAAGTTGAGAGGAGCCTGAGCGTGATGAAAGAACAGAAATGTAAACAGTGACCTGCTTTGTCCTGAAATATTCCCTTCTTCCTCAGTGTGCAGCCGTACATAAGCTCTGCTTTAAGGTGTGAACTTCAACATATAAACATGGAGGACGTGTTTGCAAAGCAACAGAAAGTCACACATTGCAGGCACAAAACAAACTGAATCGCAGTGAACTTTTTTCCTCCCTTCCTTACATTGTGTTCCATGAAGTCTTCTTTCACAGGAAGGGGTGAGGGAGGAGGGAGTGGATTTTGTTTCCATTGCATGAGTAATTTGAAGACATTTCAGTGATTCACAGAAAAGGTAGCAGTTGCAGAACAAGTACCCTGGCATTTTGCGTTTTTTCAGAGTACTAATATTGGGGTAGAAAATAGGGAGGATCTGCAGAAAACCATTCTCTTTCAGTTTTTAAGAGCCCAGAGAGAGCACAGATTCCAGTTTCACTCCTCTTTTCCTGTCTTACTCTTAAGTCCTGCTTTAAGTCCCCAGAGTTTCTAGGATTGGAATCAGAAAATAGTCATCTCTCCTTTAGACTCCATTTCTTCTGACAGGTTAGGCTCGTATTCAGCATAATATCTGCTTCTCCCTGGGTTCAGGTTCTTCGGGTCTCCTGCCTGCTTTCCACCCTTTTATTAATGGAGAGTGGAGTTTCTGCCACAGAGCAAAGTTTCATGATTAACAGAAACAAATATGGAACTTTCCAAATGGACATAGTCACTTCTTGGTAAGCTAGCAGTCCTACTTATCCTCTCCAGTGCAACTTGACCTAGTTTTTACCTTTTCATGGATAATGACTTGAGATTTCTCAGGAGAACAGTAGACAAATATAGCTCTGCATCTTTTTCTTTCTTCAGATACCTAGGGACTGCTGTGCTCTCATTAATATAATCAGTGAATAGATGCTGCCTCTTCTGAGTCTAAAATACTTTTATAGCAGAATGGTTGGAAACATAGGGGTTTAACTTAAAAAACAAAATCACTTGCAGAGAGTAAAGGTAACTAATAAAATTACACAATGCTCTATCCCCAGAACTTTCCAGGCTTTCTATATTTTACCTTCCCTCACAGTTCATCTCAAAATAAGCTAACAAAGATGTGGACATGGGTTAGCATGGGCTGCTTAAATCATCTTTCTCTATCTCTTTCTACAGGCTAGTAGCAGAATGGCGACTTTCCCGAGGTGTTGAGGAGCAGACACAGGCTTTCTTTGAAGGCTTCAATGAAATCCTGCCGCAACAGTATCTGCAGTATTTTGATGCTAAAGAACTGGAGGTAAAGGTTTGGCTGTTGCTGCATCCAGGTCATTACACATAAAATACTCCAGTCATTAGGTCTGAAGAGCAGAACTTGCCAAGGCTGACAACACTACTTTAAAGGACATGTGAGGGAAACTGGATGGAGTGTATTGGATTAGTGTGTTTCCCTTCACTTACCTTTTTGCAACCTACTTACATGTTTCTAAAGGCTAAGATTCTGCCAGTAGGCACTTTCTTATAGAGTTGCTTTTGTAATCCTCAGCAATTTGATTTGCCTGTGTTCAAAGAATGAGTAACTTGACAGAAAGGGAGATGAAAAACAGATATACAATGGATGATCACATATAGCTCAGGCCAGGTTTTAAGTGATTTTAATCTCTCAGTATTGCAGTTTCTGAAGCATCTGTTCAATTTAGAAAGATAAAAACATAAAACCCAAAACAGCCTGTTCCTAACAGAGGACTGTATGGCTGGGCAGTGATAAACTGTTCCTGGCTTGAATGTCTAAATACAATTGTTCCACTTTTCATGATACAGATGCTTTCTGTTTTGTGGCTTCTCCATATACACGTCATGAGCAGGCATCATTCTGTTGTAGAAGTTTTGGGGGTAAACTTTAAAATTAAAACCAAGTATATTATCAGTGTAAATGCTTCTAAGTATGGGTGCACTTGATGTTCAGTTTTTCTACATGGGCAGTCAAAGAAGGAAAGTCATAGCTTGTGTTTATTTCCCTTTTTCTACCCTCAAGGTGCTTCTCTGTGGAATGCAAGAAATTGATTTGAATGACTGGCAGAGACACACCATCTACAGGCACTACACCAGGACGAGCAGGCAGATAGTGTGGTTCTGGCAGGTTTGTAGACTTTGCTTTGTTCTCAGACCTACAGAAGTTGCCTACCACTGAACAGAGTTACTGAAAAATGTCTGTAGTGTGTACACACAGACATTGTTACTGCTAATCCAGCCATTTGTAAATCGTGTAAATTGCCTGTTGTAGATGGTGATGATGTGAAAATCTATCAAATCTATCCCTAAATGTTTATTTCAATTACTACTTTTCAGTTTGTGAAAGAAATAGATAATGAGAAGAGAATGAGACTCCTGCAGTTTGTTACTGGAACATGCAGATTACCAGTGGGAGGATTTGCTGACCTCATGGGTATGTATAAATAATCCCTCTAATGTATTAGGTATGTTTTTTTAAAAGAACTGATTTGCAAATTTATGGGCACTTTAATGATTTTTATATTAATGCTATTTTGTAAGCCCTACATATATTTGAGCTGTGATGGAAAAAGAGGTGGAGGGGATGTTTACACCTAGTGTATTGACTTTCAAAGTCACTTGAAATTCATGCATTTCACCACATGCATACTTTGAGCTAGACAGAGTTGTGTAGCGAAGGACAGATGTCTTACTGGTGTGAGTAATGGCAATCTTGTGTTTAAGCCCTTAACGCTTCAGTTGTAGTATCTTACCTACTGATGCAACGGTGGCTAGACCTTGTTTATCTCAATTTGTTACAGGGAGCAACGGACCCCAGAAATTTTGTATTGAAAAAGTTGGCAAGGAAAATTGGTTACCTAGAAGTCATACCTGGTGAGTATGTAACAAACCAAACTGTTGCTGCTGTCCTTGTTTTGCTGACAGCAATCTACTGGGAGATTGTAGTAAATGGTAATATACTTCACTGGTTGAGGCTGTGTGAGAGCAAACAGCAAGTTATACCAATAAACCAGGTGAACTGCTGAAGAACTGGTAGGGAGAAGATTCCATTGTAGATTCCATGGATTTATGTATTACTGAAAACTTACAGTAATAAGCAATACTGTCTGTAGAGAGGGGATTGATCTTTAGTAATCACTACACTCTACCTTCATAGTGAAGTAGCAGCATTCATGTTCCTCCTGTGTATCAGGTGAGTAAATCCGCATGTGTCAAATGTGAATCATGACTCTAGTTAACCAATGAGGGAAAGTTCATGAAAACCCATCCTTAGCGCACTGCATTTCTGACTGTCCAGCTCTTGAACTCTAACTTTCGCTCTCAGAAGTACATAAATTTATGTTGGAGTCTGCTTTTCCAAGGATATAAAGCCAGGTATCCATGTACACAGCAAAAAGTTTAATTACTTGTATTCATATCAGATTTTTTGTGATGGTTTAATTCTTTTTACTATGTAAGTTTTTTCTTTTATTTTCAGTTTCAATCGCTTAGACCTTCCACCCTATAAGAATTATGAGCAGTTGAAGGAAAAGCTGTTGTTTGCAATTGAAGAAACAGAAGGATTTGGGCAAGAATAGCTAAAATTTGCACCTTGAAGAATGTGAACTCAACACAGTGTCTGGTCTTCACTTCTTCTGCCTGTTGCACACTTCATTGTAAAGTAGACTTGACTTGGATTTATTTAACAATACTAATGTGTAAGTGGATGTTATCCTGAGGTTTTATCCACAGTAACTCTGGATTTCTACTGAGCACTTTCAGAAATCAAATGAGCAATCAGATATGGCTACAAATGAATTCTGACCTATGTAGAGGTTTTAATACAGCTTTGGGCTCTGCTTTGGTTTACCATTCATTAATTAGAATGTGTCCTTAACAACTGACAGATTTTTACCAATAGTTTTGTCTTTCCTTTTTAGTAGCATTTTTTGCTACTGATGCACTGGGAAGTTCATTGGTAGCTGCAGTGCTGCAGCAGCATCCTAAGCCTCTTTCAGCAGTGTTGTAGAGACAGCCTGTCGATGAGCAAATCCATCACTTCAGCCCTTTTTTCTATCTCAAGTGTGACCAGACTGTTTTTTCCCTGCCTGGAGTCTGCTCACATGCCAGCTGGACTCAAGCTGCTGCTTAAGGGGATGTCAAACTGTGGCACAAATCCAGGGCAAAGCTTTGCTTTGGTTTTCTTTTTCCTAATTCTGCTAATTTCAGCAAAACAGCCACCTGCCCAAAGTTGTTGGAACCTTTCTGTGTGCCCTTGGAAGAGTTCTGATCTTTTTTTCTGTGTAACACATTTAAGTTTTAAATCATTATTAACACTGTGGTACTTCACTTGTTTTGCAAAAGACAAGACCACCTGGGATTGCACTGATTCCATGTAGATTCCTGTTTGCAGACTGATGTTTCTTGTCAACAGTGTTAATGGATGTTAGTGTCAGTGTTATTTACGTGTTGCAGTCAGTTGCTCTGAAGGCTCTTATGTTCTCAGGATGAGGTACCAAACAACTGGAGTCAGAAAGTGATAGTACTTAGTATTTCTGGTGATGAACCGATGGCTTAAGGCTAAGCGGATGAGAAAGTTCAGACGAATTACAGATCTTTGAAAGCTGGAGCATCAGTGAATAGTTCCATAAAGACTGAAACTCAGTTTTTGAGGGAGGTTTCTAAGCTAATTCACGGCTTGTAGCTAGTAACTTCTGTAGTGAGTTCCTATTGGATAATAACATCTTTTACTTACTTTTAGAATCTGTTAATACTCAATTCTCTTCTGGTTTACAATAACTTTTTGCATTTTACTGCTCCTTTAGACTGAATGCACTTTTTGGGTATGGTCAGCTCCTTCCCTCTGTGAAGGGAGGAAAGCAAACTTCAGTGAGCTGAGCTGGTAGCCATGGTAGGAGATGTGACACTTGAAGCACCATGTAGCACGTACTAAAGCATAATGCAGCTCAGAGCATTGGGCCAGGAGCTGGTTTTAAGAGGCTTTTGGATATGGGAGCCGAAACAGGACAGTGGGAAACTGTAAAACTGAACTTCTAGTCTTGAAAAGAGCATTTCTTTCCTCTTGTCCCTTCTGTCTAAACTAAAGAGGGAAGAAATAATTCAGGCCTAAGAACCACCAGGGCACTGCAGGTTTTGACTGAGTTTTTTGGGTTGTACAAACAGACGCTTACTGGAAGGCAGGATTCTCAGCCTGTAGAGTGAACAGGTCTTTTGTCATGCATATTCTAGGAAAGGCATGGAAAAGGGTTTCTGATGACACAGAAATGACCCTCTCTTATACTTCCATTGCTGGTAGAACCAATCTGACTTCATGGGTTTACTAGGAGAAAAATCTGCCAACTTCAGAAAGGTTTGATGGATTTCTTAGAGTATACAGCTCACAAGGAGGAAAAAAAAAAGCCTTATAAAATATATTCTGTTTGTATGAATTCTTACAGTGAAAGGTAGTTATCTAACATATTTCCAAGAGAGATTAAATTAAGCAAGATAATGCAAGATTAAGCTATGACAAATAGTCTGTGTTCTGCATAATGCTTTATGATTCATGTAGGGAACCTAGAACTATTGTTAATGTATAAATATCACCCAAAAGGCTTTCAGCCCTATATTTTTAAACTAAAGAATAGTTATAATTGAAATAGCCTTAGCCCTAGTTCTATAGGGTGTGGCTGTTGAATATTTTTATGGTTGAAATGTTTAGTTCAGGACAAGGTAAATGCTTGTATATATTTTTGCAGTCTGGGATTCCACGTATTCCATTTTTCTTTAATTTAAATGGCATGTTTATATGTCTTTTCTGCTGTACTAGGATGGGGCAAAGGGGGCTGGATATCCCAAGCACCAGACAGGATTTTAAAAGATAAAGAAATAAAAACTAAAGAATCCATTGGGAGGGAGAAAGAGGGGGAAAATAATCTGTGAAGACCTGGGGTTGGCCAGAATATACAGAAATTAAAGCAAATATCTCGTGTAAAACTGGTGACATTTCTGAAGTCGGAAGTTAAGATTCCTCAGCCAGTTTGTTCTGTCAGCATTGGGAATGTGAACAAATCTGTTCGTTTTTTTCAACCTGTTGTGTAGAAATAAAAAGGACTTCATATGAGCTGCTGGTGCAATTCTGCTCTTTATGGAGAGCTGGTGAAAGCAGATGGAGCTGAGCCCAGAGCATCCCGAAGCCCAGATTGCAGGTTGTGAGAAACTGGGCTTCCAAGTAACATTTTCAGCAGATGAATGAATTTGTCTCCCATCCAGCAATGTGATTGAGCAACACAAACTGCGTGAAGTCATAGTATGTCACAATGCAGGTTCTGCCAATGCAGGCAATTGCCAGTTGATACCAATTCCTTGAGTATTAAAAATAACTTTTATTTAGAATTTTCCCTTGGGAGAATGACATGACCAAATGAAATGCTGAGCTGCTGATGGAAGAACTAACAAAGCCTTGTTACTCTGGCCAGCTCAGGAAACGTTAATATACAAGGGGCAATGGGTGTAAACTGGAGCATAGGAGGTTCCATGTTAACATCAGGAAGAACTTCTTTATTGTGAGAGTGACAGAGCACTGGAACAGGTTGCCCAGGGGGGTTGTGGAGTCTCCCACATTGGAGATATTAAAGGCCCACCTGGACAAGTTCCTGTGTGATGTACTCTAGGTTACCCTGCTCTTGCAGGGGGGTTGGACCAGATGATCTCTTGAGGTCCCTTCCAACCCTTGGGATTCTGTGATTCTGTAATGAAATGCACAGGAAATGCATCATGTCTTCATCTGATCTAGAATGGAAATTGTTTCAATCAAGATGCTGGCATTTAAAAAGAAGGGGGTTTATTATTCTGAGGAAAATAAAAAAAAATTGGTAAAGTTTGTATGATTTTATTTTCTGCATTTTTATTACATGCTGCACCAGATTTGTAATCTCAGCTGTCTGCTGTATTGGTATCTCCAGCCCCCTTTTTGTGGTGTCTTTTAATTTTCTTCAAGAATCATTGTTTGTGTATATGTGCTCTAGTGAACTCATCTATAAACTGGGATCAGCAGCACTGGATTGTAAAATACTGTACTGAAATTCCTTGTTGAAGTTTCCTTGCATTGTAATTTCAAATACTCAGGTAACTGTAACAGTATCTCAGTAAGTCAAATACTTTTATAAAACTACTTAAAGAGATTGATGGAGGTCTCATCGTTGTTTGTTGTGTGTTACAAAGCATACATGTGCCAAAGAACTCTGTGTGTGCTTTTGTGGGGGTGAAGCATGAGGCTGCCTCAGTCACAACCATGAAATACCAAGCTGGAAGAGACCTCATGGTTCATCTGCTCCAACCTTAATAGGCAAAGCATGAGCTAGATGTGAAGTCCCAAAGCTCTGCCCAGCCCAAATTTGGTAGTGTCCACTTCTGAGGAATCCAGCAATTCTGTGAGGTAACTATTCCAATAGCTGGCTGCTTATGATGGTGGTAACTAATCCTTGAGTGCAGGTGTAATCTCCCCAGATCTACCTTGTACCCATCATCCTTCAAGTTATTCACGTCAAACGTTATACAAAGGGAGTATGCATTTTCCGTGACTCATCCCACAACCCCCTGCACACTGACAAAAGAGCCTGGCAGGGCTGAATTCCACCACCATGGATGCTTCCCGGCTGCAGCACATCAGCAGTGCTCAGCTCGCTCCCGAGCTGATTGTGGCACAGGGAATTGCCCGTTACCAGTGAGAAGTGCAACACAGACCTTCGCCCCTGTACCCTACACCTGTCCTGCGCTACCTCTGACCCTTCCGGGACCTGCAAGCCTTCCTGCCCTGCTACCAGCCATTTTGTCCTGCTGTCTGCTGTAGTCCCTGCTTCCCTGCTCCACAGTCCCTGACTCGGTGCCACCGTGCAGCCCCACGGGAAGACCACCCTGGTCCTGCTGGCAGCACAGCCCAGCCCTTGCCGGAGCGAGGAGGCAAAGACCTGCACACGCACAGTAAGGAGCCTGTGGGTGCCGAGGCAGGCGCGGGGCCGGGTCTGTGCCCGGGTCCCACAGGCAGAGAGCGGCCACTCACCCCTGCCCTCTCTGCTCTGGCAGGTCCTCAGGCCGTTACCACTCTGCAAGGTGCTGAAGCGCAACAGGCGCAGGATCCTCCAGCTGCACGCGCCAGCCTCTCAGAGCTGGTGGGTGCTGCTGGACAAGGAGCCCCCGCCGTTCCCCCAGCTCCTGCTGGAGCAAGGGACCCGCTGCCCTGCCCGGGCAGTGAGAGGGGGTCAGGTACCCAGAACCCTGTCCCACTGCTCTGCTCCGCTGCCCAGGACAGCACCAATGCACTCTTCTGCTTGCCTTTTGCCTTAGGCTGTTTCAATACTGCTAGAGCCGGAGGACAAGGCTGCCAGCAGGATCCATGTGGGGCTGCAGGAGGAGGAGGACATGCATGTCGACATCTATTTTGAGGAGGAGGAGGAGATGGAGGTGGAGTGAGCAGCGGTAAGGCAGCACGTGCCCCATCCAATGCTGGTGGTGAGGGTCCTGCAGGGACACGGTGCCTGGTGCCCTCGTCCTGGCGCCACGAGCGCCACCACAGCGCTGCCCTGCTCTGCCTCTGGGCCACACGAGCCAAGCCTCATTGCACAGAGCCCAGCTCCCAGTCCCAGGCGGGGCTGAGCCCGCAGCAGACTCACGCTCTCCCCAGCGTGGCCCAGGCTGCGGCAAACACAACGACCACCACAGCCT